CATACCTATAGGCTCGATACAATAGCGATCAAGCCATCTAAGAGGCAACGAAATGATCACAACTCACATAAATGTGTAACAAAGCCTCACGAAACATACACGATAGAAGGGATTGCGATGTACGGGACTATGTGTGACTGACCGAAACACGTGAAAATAAATGCGAGTCGTGTTATTTAGAAAACCTGAGATGGGATTGCGACTAAGATCAGTCGTCATGTGATTGAATCTCATGATACAATTAAGATTGGAGCTATTGGAAAGTGATGAAGAGATTTCAGAGTATATAAATTTTGCTTTTGTGATCGAAAATTTTCCTCGAAATAATATTGGCTAAGAAAATAGATGCCTTTGAGGAAAAATTAAAGAGAGTGTTGAGCCAAATCAAATCTGAAATAGACAAACATTTCTCGTCCATAGAGGAAAAATTAAAGAGACAGTTGAGTCACATTAAATATGAAATAGACAAGCATTTCTCGTCCACGAATGGGAGATTAAGCAGAGATTCACGGCTCTGAAAGAAATAATGAAGAAGATCATGAAGTTTTACACAAAACCACTCCCGGTCGCCGTTAGATCGAGTGACGGTGTCAGGAACAAACGCGAGCGGCAACAACCAAAAGGATTCGAGCTACATGAGAACAATGTCGGGCTGGGAATTGCAGTGTTTAATGAAAGAATCGGGAGTGGACTCGATCACCAACACTTGGAAAAAATAGCAAGCGTTGGACGACTCGAACAAACGAAAACAAGCATGATCGAACAAAGAAGTCGGGAAGGGTTCGAGCAGCAGCCTCTGGAGAGAATTGCATGACATCATGAGGTTTGGAATGAGCGACAGCAATCAAAATGGGGCAGCGTGATTCAGAGCTGGAGAAGATCGCTTTAAAAAATTTTGACATGAGATTAAGGGTGTGCATTCAATCAGTTTGGGTGAATCACCTTTAAAATTTGGCAAATCGATTTGAACCTAATCCAAAAATCGAACTATCGGTTTTACATAAACCAAAAAATATATATATTTGATATATAAAAAATAAAAAACATTGTCCCAAAAACTATTCATTCTTTTTAAAAACCAAACTGATCAAACATAATCTCTAGGCTGCCCAAGAATATCGCTAAGTAAATTTTGGTTCTCAGTTGGTTCGGTTGAAAATTTCTTAAAACCGAACCGGAATCCGAAAACCAAATATTGGCCTTTTAAAAACCAAAATCCAAACTTTTAATTCAAAACCGAACTGAATTATTAAATCGATTCGGTTTGGTTTGGTTTTCTGAATAAAACTAAATACTGCACTCCCCTACATGAGATAGGGAACCATAGTGTGTGGGCCCCGACGGAGGGTAGCTTCCAACTGCGACTGTGTATTTTGCTATAAAAAACTTTTAGGTGGAAGGCAGTTCATAAGTAATGATGAGAACATGACAGATGGAGAAGAGAGGGAGTTTGTAAGAGATTGATTTGGATACTGCAAAGAATTCAGAAGGGGATAAGATGGCGATGCTTCACAATAAACCTAATTTGTACAAGAGATTGTTGACATTGAAGACTGTGACGAGGGTGATTTAGAATGAAGTGTTGGGATTCTTGATCAAGTGTCATAGCATGAAAGAAAAATATGATGTGAAGTTGACAGAGATTTCAGTAATTGATGATCTACTAGATGAGCTGTTTGGAGCTGTGATATTCTCTAAAATTTTTACTGTAATTCAAAACATTATTGAATTCAGATGCATTCGTAGAATGTGTAAAATGGAATTTCGAGGCAGTGAAGGTCACTACGAGTTTGTAGTTAAATGAAAATTATTATTAGATAATAATGTCATGTGGGAGCCATACAACCTGATCCAACAATATTTGTTTTCAATCTTGAGGAGAATGTATCTTTTTGGGATGGAGTAATGTTAGGTCGGCACCTTAGGAAAAATGACTTATATTAGCCTACAGACAATTTAGACTTGTCATTTATTATGGTTTAACATAGAAAGGGCTAATCTGTTTAAAGTTAAGGTTATGCATGAGATTATTATTGTGAGTCTTAGGTTTATGGTTCGGGTGAGATTTCCTATCACTTGAATTGTAGGAATTGAGAGAAATCGCCCAGCTTTCAAATTTTAGGTGCTTATCTTTGTATCCGTATTGAATGTTTGATGGTCTTGCAATAAAATATGTGTTTGCCCTAATTTCTGTGGAAGATTCGTTTCACTTACCTGCAACAATTCAGCCTTGTCACAAATATAAGAAATACGTCCAAAACAAAATGACATAAGCTCTACCAATCGCTAATTTTACTTCTTTCACTATGATGATATAACAATCTTGCTTGTGCAACCCACTTAGTCAAGTGATTGAATACTTTGTCTCTAACTACAAGATCATGAGTTCAAGGTTTAGCATACAAATAAGTGAACGAGTTTTTTTTAAAAAAAAACTTGCTTGATGAATACATTAGTTTATACAATAATGGCGAGAACTTCAAAATTATCTTAAAAGAAGCCAAAATAAAGGATTTACTCTAAAAGATCACTTTAAAAAAGGGATAACTTTGTGTTTTGAAAGGTGGCAACCAATTGAAGTCATAAAATAAACACATACATGAAAAATAATCATACATTTGTGTGTTTCAAAAACTCTTCTAAACTTGTAGCATTACGAGTATTGGTTACTTATGCATCTTAATAAGGATAAATACATTAAATATTGTGCTCTTCGTTGCACTTCATAACCCTCCAATTGGAAATAACAACCCAACACTCCTTTGCAAGTTTTGGCTTAGTATTGGGATATCATCTTCAAGAATTTCCTCAGAGGCCTGATAACGGCTTGTAATGGTCATAACTCTTTGTTTGTTGCAAAGGACAGGCTTTCCAAGATGTTCATCCTCATGTCATATAAGCAAACGAACAACAGTAAGGAGTAAGTATGCAACTCAATTTTCTTCCACAAATTCATAGTCATACTAAGATCTAATCACAAAGTGGTTCATCTCTCGAAAGGCTTCAACTCTCATTAATCACCATCCAAAAATGTGAGACTAAAGCCTCCCATTATCTACTTTGCCTTCAATCCTTCCAAGCATGGCTACACTAATCGAGCCCCATTTGAAGTAAGTTGGGTCTAACATCCATAAAACCCAATGATCTCTTGAGGGAATCCGAGAAATGCATGCAGAGGTTGATAGCAACTTTGCAAATCATTGCAAAGCTATAAATATCAGTGTGATCGCCATTAGCTTGAAGAAAATATGAAGGAAGTATTGTTTGACTCCACGTCAACAAGGACTTTAAAGGAGAAGAGCACAAACACAAACAAATGCAATACGATGCATTATCAAATGATACATTATGATGAATATCAATTGGACCTTCCTGCTTATATAGAGATCAATGTTGTACTGAATGTTGAGAATCTCAGACCATTTGAATTTTCTTAGCTTGACAATAAGCCAAAAAAAGTTTTGCTTAGATTTGGGAGAAGAACAAGAATTGGACAGAGACATGAAGGTTGAAAAAGAAGATTACTACAACTAGTTAAGGCGGTAAAATAGCTAACAACATCAGCATGAAGTCAGAAGACCTACGTAATTCACCATATAACCTTTGGCATTTCCACTCTCCTTTGATGAAGTGACATTCATGCATGCTTTAATGTGAAGCATCATTATCTTCTTATTAAGGCAGCATCTTTAGTGAAGGGAGTTCCTTCATCTAGTTATCGCCCTCTTTATTTATAAGTGCCACCATCCCTTTATTCCCATATGAGGAGAGGCCTTTTATAGGCTAGCAGCAAATTTGGAGTTTGCAATCCCCCTTCTAGTGCGAAATAAGATTTCAAGTTTGAAGTTCCAAAAAAACCCCCTTCTCTTCTAATTCCCACTACAATGAATTATTTTCCAAGCTATCCCTCATATGCATATCCTACTCTTTTGACTGAAAAGATTAAGTATTCTTCCTCACGTGTATAACAACATCCTTGGAAAACTTCAATAACTCCTTAGCCAACTCTCTTCACCTTTCGACACAAGGATTTCTTTATCGGCTTCTTCTAATTCCATAAAAAAATTGCCTGAGAAGATAAGGATGAGAGTAGTACGCTTGGTTATGACTTAATTTTTTTTGGCAGATCTGTTGGAGGATGGGATCTTTCTCGGCAAACCTCAACTAACATCAGATTATGAAATGTCTTATATTCTATAAAAAAACATTGAATAATTCTAGAAATTAAGTTAATCTCGAACAAAATTTCTTTGTAGATGCAATCCCATTCAATGACGAGGCCACTTGATTAGTCCAACATTTTGTGTGGGAGGAATATTTAATGTCTCTATACAAATAGAGATGGAGATTTAAAGGACTTGTAAGGTGGATTAAATATGATTTTATTGATATCACTATTATTAAGCAAACTCAGAACTCAATAACTAGGCATTTGTTCCATAAACGATGAGTCAAGTCTGGTAGAAAAGTATTCTTGCAGACATTCAGGAGTGTTCAGTTGGGTTAAACTCCTATGAGGCAATTGAATTTAATAGCCGTCTGCCATCAGATGAGTTGTTTCTGATCAGTGTGATTAATGGCCAGCAACGCCTACAAATTTGATTTATATTTTTATAAATTCAATCCAAAACAAATCTATTTATTGTTTATTTCAAATACAGAACAGACTACCTTGGAATTGCGGCTGAATGTTAAGCAATATAACACTGAAAACGCGACACAATACTTCACTCTGCTAATAATGTAGTAACTCAGCTTTCCAGCTGTTTCGTCCTCCAAATCTCCCTCAACAACACAATCAAACAATTAAAACATCCAAAACCAGGCGAATTACCTCACAAAACATTACCAGTTCTACTCCTCCAAGTAGTTCTATGGCACAATTCATCCCGATCTCCAAAAATCTTCCCAATCTTCCAACACAAATGATGGATCCAAGAGCGACCGACGCAGATTCAAACAACAATAAACTTGATAGAACATCGATGTAGCACGATTACCTTATAAAAGAGTTGCGACCGTCCGAAGCAACAATTCCCTCGCTTCCTCCGGAGAGCAGGACTGCATTGCCAACCTCCTTCGTAGGTATGAATCGAGCCATCCACCTCCCCTATGCCAATCAGCACTGCTACCGTGAAAAGAACGGCGGCAGCAGTTGAGACAGTGGCGGAGAACTCCATAAGGGAGAGAGAGAGAGAGAGAGAGCAGCTTAGGGCTTCTTCAGTGATAGAACTAGAGCTACCGATGGCAGGAAAGAGAGATGGTGGCATATGGCTTTGAGCCGGTGAGGATTGGATAAACGACACAGAAGAAGGAATTTGGCTGTTGCGTACCAAACAGTTGACACGTGGACAATTAAATAAAGCTAATCAAGCTAATGGGCTGATATTATGATATTTGCAAGTTTTATTGATAAAAGTTTTTAAATTATTATTTATAGGAAATTTTATTTTAACATTCAACGAGGAAGTAATTTAAATTTTAATAATTAATATTTTTAATGTATTTTTATAAAATGTTGTGTTGGTTTTTAAATACATTTTGAGTGCTTCTTTTATAATATTGATCCGGAGAACATTTGATTCTCCTTCTGTCATACCAACCCTTTGAACTTTTGTTTTGTTTATATTATTTGTCCTTGTCCTGATGTCTTATGCACAAATTTACATACTTTATACTTTGACCTTGTCACCAAATAACACAATTGATCTCGCATAAATTTCAATGCATTTTACATTGCACAATTTTTACTTACATTTAGAATGTTGGTTAACATTCTCGATGTAAGTCCCTTCTGGTGAATTGTTCAAATCCCCTCTGACATATAGTTTGACTTAAGAAGGTAGTACTCGAATCATCAGGCGTGTTAGGAGTGACTAGAGGCTCGTATAATAGTCTCTGGTCGAATTGTTAGACATGTTAGGAGCTAAAGATTTAACATATACTAATTATTTAATAAATTGTTCTAGCCTTTTTACTTCATATTTTTAAAATCAAATCAATGCATGATATTTAAAAGTTATTTCAAGTAAATTTTAAAATAAATAAACATACTTCAGCATGGCAAACATATTTTACTTCAAATCAACTACATGAATTTTACATAAATACCATCCAATTCTTATGTATTTAAATATATATATATATATATCACATCAAATATTTTATATTTACATACATAGTGTTTTGTTGTTTTAACCGTATTCTTTATATTTATGTCACTCAAATCTTTCGTATCACATGAAAAATATCATTATTTTAACTAAATAAATAAATAAAATACACATTTATTTGTAAATAAAGTGCACATATAAGTAGCAAATTGAAGCTTGGATTCCTAGATATGTAAATAAATAGAATTTAAGTGGTATGTATGTAAATCTTCCAAATATAATACATAAATTATAAAATAAAATGATCTCAAATAGCCTCATCTAATTTCATGAAATTGAATTTGCCAGAACATTGCATTAAATAGCGCTTGTAATATTTAAACATTATTGTTATTATTATAAAAATTATTTAATTTCTAGAGACAATGATATTTTTGAGACTTAAAATAGGATCCCATTAATCGCCACCCATTTCTCCATTTGCGCGAAATCCAACGCACCACATGCCTCCATTGTCTCTGCATATTTTAAAAATAAAATAAATAAACACCATTAATTTCACTTGCAAGAATAATGCTGTGAATAAAAAAAAAATCATTTTTATAAATTTATTAAATTTGTCAAAAAAAATTTATTCAGCATAATAAAATTTTAATCTTAAATTAAAACTTTTAGATCGAAACGAGCTCAATCCAGCTCAAAATTGAAAATAATTGGCTCTAATCGAGTTATTTTGATCTGTTTCAACTTGAGATAGGCTCGAAATTGGATCACGACTCGCTAAATTCAATTATGTTTAGCATAAAATAAATTATTTTTATAAATACAAAATACTATGAGCCGATCTCGAGTCAGTCTTAGCCGATCTATATATGCTCAAAATTTGTTTCAAAGTTTCGACTCGTAACTCTGCTCGTTTATTTCAATCAGATACCGATCCAATCCAACAATTCGAAACTATTTTCAAGCGATCAACAATTTCCAAACTAAATAGTCGTCTCTAGAAATATTTTTATGATAAACATTTTCATGGGCGTTTTTGTTTTTTGCATTATTTTTTAACCTTTCCACCTAATTAAACATCACAAAGAAAACAATAATTAGCAAATTATATATATATAAGGAGTGATTTAAAATATCTTAATTCAATCATATTCAACCAAACGAAATCCTAAGGAAAAAAGAAATTTAAATCAACAGCTCCACATGAATAATGTGTAAATTTTACAGAGAAATTATTGCATACGGACACCGCATGCATCTCTGGATGCGGTGTCCGATCCTGACCATAGATCACGGTGATCTACGTTCATGATTATTTCAATTTTTTTTAAAAAAAAATTTAGGTGGGGCCCACCAAAATATATCCGGATGCGGTGTCTGATCCGTATGGAATAATTTTTCAAATTTTACGGGACAAAATGATGAAATGATAATTTTTAATTTGCAAACTGTACAGGAAGTAATATATAAAATATAGGACAAATTTATAAATATTAAAAGTCAAACCAAGCATCTAGACTACAGCATAAGAATAACAACTATATAATTGGTTTTGAAATGGTGAAAGTTTGCCACATGTATAACACACAATTAACATGTATTTACACATATACCACACTTAAAACATTCGCATTTTCATATATACCGCTTAAATTTTTAATATCACATAAAAAATATTATAAATATTATTTAAATAAAATGAAATACACATTCTCATATATAGATTTATGGCACCGCTATATTATAAGTGTGAATTATGAATTTTAATATGTGAATAAATAAGACTCATGTTTAAATATAATAAGGCTTCAAAGAAATATAAATAAATAGATAATTTAGTATTTACTTTCTTTATATATTAATCACCTAAAATATTGAATATAACATATTAATCGCTCAAATTTTAAATATTATATTTTAACCACAAATAATTTTCACTAAAAGCCTTCACCAATCGGAAAAGAATGGTAATTGTAATGAAAAAAAAAAATGATTAAAATGTTATATTTAAAATTTGAGCAATTAAAATATTATATTCAATGTTTTAAATAAAAATCTCTAAATAAATAATTAATTTACAAACATAGCAATCTCACACCCAAATTTTGATTTTTACATCTAAAGTATGTTTCCCCATGCATGGAAATGTGGATTAACATTTTCATACATAAGTTATGATGTCGAGGGTGTAAAAAGCGAAAAAATATTACATCAGGAGTCCAGGTGCAGCTATACGTCTGAACTCGAATTAGTTTACGTCACATGTACAGTCTCAGGCCCACGAAAAAAATTAAATAAAAATGTTGATTTTGTGGTTGAATTTTGGTAAGTTTGTTGTTGGATTGTGATGATTTTATAGTTGTATTGTGTTGATTTTGTGGTTGTATTATATTGGGACTCTTAGATTATATTTTTCTGATAAAAATCATAATTTGATTGCGGGATAAGTAAATGCATAAGAATTGGGCTTTATCCATGTAAATTTTCGATAAATAATCATACTTACACAGACTCGATCGGTGCGCCATCGCCGACCCTCCTTTCCTCCGCCGCCGCCGCCGCTGCAATTGCCGGCCGCCGCCTCAAGACGCTCATAATTCATTTTCCGCCACCGCCGCGGCCTCCCTCCGACCACCTTAAACCCCCATCGAGATCTCCTTCTCATCTACATTCAAAAACCAAATTTATTAAATTCTGAATTCTATATCAAATTAAAAAAAAAATAAAAAATTCAATTTAAGATTTCTGATCATGGATTATCTAAATTTGGGGATTAGGTTACCCCATGATGAGCGGCGAATGCGATCTTCCACTTGTTCCAATCGGGGAGCGCGCCAAATTGATCACCGGGGGTTCGCCGGAGCTGCTGTGCGTAAGCGAGGAGCATCGCCCGGCGGTCGAACCTGTGGGCCATTGGGCCGGCGGCCGGACCGGTTACCGAGCACGGCGGTTTGAGCGGCCGGACTGGTGCTGCGTAGAAGGAAATGGATATCTTCTGCTGCTTTATTTCCATATGGGTATTGGGATCTGGAGTTCAGGGAACAAATGGGGTTTTTCGTGCCTTTTAGTTTTTGCTTTTTGGATTAAAAAAATTGGGATTTACATAATTTTTTTTTTCTTTTGTATTTACATATCTAAAGCTCAGAAGTTGGGGCTGTTTGTGATTAGTTTATGTTTTCTATTTTTTACTTTTATTTTTGGCCTATTTTATTTTTGTTTTATTTTCTATTTTTTATTTTTTTTATAAAATATGTATGATACTGTTATGATTTAAATATTTATTTTATTTAAAAATATATAAAATATATTTAATTGGGTATATTTTAATTAAAAAACTATAATTTTTATAAAACGGTTGGCTCTAAGTACATCTGTAGTTTTAAGCTTTGTCACTCATGGCGTATACGATGTCTTCATTGTTCCACATAATACAAAGCATTACCTGTGGGTGAGCGGGCGATGGACGGTAAGTGGCGGGATGCATGTAAGCAGCTGGTGGCACGCGGGGGGCGGCGGTGGGTGGCCAGGGCGCAGGCTGGCGGGAGGGACGGGGGGCGGGCAGGGGCAACTGCGGACGGGGGCGGCGACAAGCAGAGGAGGGCAGCAGCTTCTTGAAGCGACAGACGGCGGCAAGCGAGTGGCGGCAGGTGAGCGGGGGCCAATAGCAGTGGCGGCCAAGATGGGCGACGACAAATGATTGGACTCGTCGTTTCCAGTGTTTTAAAGACAAACAAAAACATGTTTTTTTTTATTTTGAGTATTTTAAAAACAAAAATATTCCTTCAAAAAATTAAAAAAAAAACATGAATAAAGCAAACAATGAATAAACAAACGCTGTTTTTTTTTTCTTCATATTTTTTGTTTTCAAAAATAAAACATAAAAACCAAAAATTGATCTCAAACAACTCCTTTAAAAAGATTTTTGTTCATTTTTTGAAGAGGGGGTATATATGAATAATTACTTGCTTACCCATACTTTAAAGAGGGAGTTAAATGGTATTTTAAGTATTTATATAAATGAGCCTATGACTCGTCTAACCTATCGCTCTGTGAGCTGAAATGGTGATCCTTGGGTTGGCAAGGCTCACTCAACTGATTATGCTACTTTGGGTTTGTGGATCAGCTTTGATTGATCTTTGATTGTTTGAACTTTGTTTGGTCAACTAGAGTCGACCGGTCGGCTACTTTGGTCTGGTTATCTACTACTGACCCCTATATGAGGTGCTAAAGTTGTTAGGTCGAGAATAAGTTGTCGAGCAGAAGGAGAATAACCATAATCCAACATGTAGCTTGCCTTTTGCCAGAATATCTCCTTAAGGTGTTCCCATATTTTATTGTGGTGTGAATCTTCGACCTCCTGATGATAAATCCTAGAGACTCTTATGAGTAGGATGGTGATGTTGGAGCGATAGTTGAGCTGATGTCTTCTCTTTGCTCGATGGATCTTAGTCTTTACCTCAAGTAGATTTCATTTGGCATGCTTCAAACCCCAACTCCAAGGATCTGCATTTTGTCAATAAAGTCTTTGATTTGCCAGTGATGTGACTAGATGTTTTCATACCTAACCATGCTCTTATGTCTCTCAGACGGTTGAATTCCCTTGAGATTCATGCTAACACATTTATGATGTACAAATGACTAAGAGTAACAAGTGAAAGAAATGACATTTTTTTATGCATCTTTTAATTTAATAAAGCCAAAGTCTGATAAATATCAAATCGAAAAATCAAGTGTGATTTGAGTTCTGTATCCACCTTCAACAAAACCAGGCATAAATGATTCTAAGTTGACAGCCATCACTTTGAAAAAATAAATACAGAATCTTTTATCAATTTAGAAGATTGTTTTTCTCATCAATAGCATTGTGTAATTGATGCATCAAACTCTCTCAATATTGCATTGCTTCTTTATTTTAAATCCTTATCAAAATATTTATTTTGTATAAATTCATGTATAATAATTAACAATAGTTTTCATAGCTGCTTCTATTTTAATAATACTCAATATCATATACTTAGTATCATTCTTATTTTCATAAGTTACCACCAACCATAGTGTTGAGTCCAATACATCAGCACATAAATTACACATCATAATACATAGTCCATTAACCCTTTTCTCCTTCAAGAAAATTTAACACACCCTTGTACACTTTAATGGTGTCAATATCACTATAGATTTTATATCATGAAACTCTAAACTACATAAAGATATTAGATTTAAATTTGATGCATAGTTGACACCAATGAATAATATATGTACACTACCATGCACCTTTAACTTCACATTATAAGTGCTACCAACTAAGCTTGTAGCTCCACTTTCCATGTACAAACGACCACCAGAATGTCACTTATATATTAGAAATATATTTGAATTAAAACATATGTGATTAGAACAATGTTAGTTATATTATCACTAGAAAAACAAACAAATAGAAATTTCAAGTAAAGCAACGCTAAACCATTCAGAATAGAGGAAAATGTAATTAGGAAAATACCCTGCAACAATAAAATTAAGAAAAAAATAAAAAGATTCACATGAATACCACCCATTTCCCATGTACTTCAATATCCTACCACCAAAACTTCAATTTTTAAATAATGTCACCTTAGCCATGCATGAAAATAATATTTCTCTAAGTTAAAATGTTGATATTTTTTATATGACATGAAAGATTTGAGTGACATAAATGTAAAAAAAAAGTAAAGTTTAGGGGTTGGCTATGTAAATGCATAAGAAATATGTGGCATGCATGTAAATGACCACCCAATAAATAAGCCATCACCCAAAATAAAGCCTCATAAGATAACCTATTGATACATCCATCTCCATCTAGTTAAAAAAGGACTAAATCCAAGCACCCGACTCCCTCGCATTCTCCTCTGGCGTCGTCGCCGGCGCCGATGCACTCTAGGAAAATCAACATCGTCATCATAAAAAAGATCGTTAAAAATTTGATTAAGCCGGTCCTCGGCGCTGTAAAAAACACCTCGATCGATGTTGTTATGGAGATCATCTCTTTCAATCACATAATCTCCCAATATCAGAGAGTTTGGCATCGAAGAATTGATGAAGCTGATGGCATCCTGTCTGTCTCTCTCAAGCTCGAACTCTCTCCACTTCTTCTCGAGCTCGGGATCGACCTCCTGAGGCCTTGGAAATGGATGATCTTCTCTTGCGTGCTTCTGTAGCTCCATGAATGTCCCCACAAATGAACAATTTCCCTGCCATACAGCAATATAAATAAGCAAGATGCAGGAAACCATATGAAATACCGCTTCCTACTCCTTTATAAGTATATATTTATAATATGTTTTAATGCCTTATAATCTTTTATGTGATCAGTCCAACCCACATATATAAAAAATTATGGGCCAAAATAGTCTGAGATTATAGAGAATATCGCTAAAATGGCCACCTGACTAGGTATTAGGGTTTAATCACTATTTAATTAGTCTAACTGCTCAATGAGACTTTTACATTGTTTAAGACTATGTTGACCGTCTACCAATACTTGAGAAACCATATTAATTTTTTGGAGCATTTATCTACATACCACCCAATTGTTATGTATTTACATACATAACACCTAAATTTTACTTTTATATTTATACCCCTCAAAACTTTCATAACACATACAAAATAGCGCTAATTTAACTTTTAAAAGGTGAAATCCATCTTTTCATGCATGGTTAAGATGACATATCTGTAATTGAAGTTTAGGTGTTAGATTTGTAAAAAAAAAATAATTGAGTGGTATGAATGCAATTCTTCCTAATTTTTTTTCTCTGTGCTGCTCTATGAATCGACAATTTAACACAACGCTTCCTGTGTGAAAGAGATGCAATAATTTAACCAACAAGCTCATCTGCCAGAATAACAGCCTAAGCAAAATTATTTAGGAAAATTTACATACATAGCACACAATTCTTATGTATTTACATATCTCACACCTAAAGGTTCATATTCACATACACGGCACATTGGGCTTTAAACATAAGCATGAAAAGCCGTATTCCACTTTTAAAAGTCGTAATTGCCCTATTTTTTATGCCATATAAAATATTTGAGTACTACGTGGGTAAAAATGAAAGTTTAGATGTGAGATACGTAGACACATAAGAATTGTTGTATATATGTAAATACCCCGATTATTTAAGGAATACCTGCATGCAGCTCCTCCTCTTGTTGTTCAGGTACTTCCGCGCAGGCCTTATCACGGTCCAACCTTTCACCGGACTGCGGCAGAGAGGACACTGAGGACATGGGAGCTCCGAGGACTTCGATTCACCGTATATAGCTGGAGTAAGGGGACAAAATGTTTTTGGATTAGATGACATGGATGACATGTACGCCTTCTTGAATAATTCGAGGCAGTTCGAATGTTGGTAGCTCGTGTCGCACATGTATGGACGACAGCCCTTTTCGTGAGATGAGCAGAGGAGGAGGATCGCGTTGTGTGGCGGTTCCATGCAGACGGCACAGGTTGCGCTCTTCCAATCCATATCAACAGAAGATGCTGACATTTGGTCTTGCTTGAGTTCGTTATATGGCTTGAGATCTGGGGACGGTGGAGAGTGAGGATAAAAATGGCTGAGATGGGAAGAGAGATAGGCTTTCTCTGGTTCCTGTCATCTTAAGTAAAGTCAGAAGAAGAAGAAGGGGAAGTGAATTACAGTTGTGAATGCATTGAATCCAATGCTCCACAATGAAATAAGAGAGTGTAGGGATTGGCAAATGGTTGTTGGTTCTGTTAACTCAATTGAAAATTTTATTAAACCAAAGCAAATAACAAATAAAACCAAACCGATCAAATAATATATAGAACAGAACCAAACCGATCAAATAAGATATAGAACAGAACCAAACCGAACTAAAATAAAATTCAATTTATTCGATTGGCTTTTGGTTTACCCAAATTTTGAAATCCTAATGAAGATTTATGCACTCAGTCAATTTAGATTGATTGGTTGATGGATTTAAATGAACTGTAATATAATTAGATTTTCAGTTTAACCGAGTTTTTTTCCAAACCAAACTAATAACCAAAATCCAAATAGCGTAATTAGAACCAAATCAATCGGTTTGGCTTTTCAACTTAAACCAATTAATGCACACCTTTACTGGCTTGAGTTAGAGAATGAGAGAAGCTAACACGTACAAGTTTTGCTAGTGACCAGTTAAACCAACCTAAGCCATGTAAATATTTGGGCAAATTTTGAAAAAAGTAAGTTGTGTTCTGTAATCTCAGAAAGATCAGACTTAACAAGAGCTGTTAAGGGTCTGGTTGATCATAACTCATGAACCCAACATCTTATAAACATAAGAATACTTTTGCCCGTTGATTAAATAAATAGCAAATATTTTTATGCTCAGCAGAAGTTATGATTTAGACAATATAAATTCAAAAGAGATCAAAATGATTTTCAAGCTCAGTAGTCCCGCTTTAAACGTGAACAAGTCTAAGTTGATATTGGTTAGACTAAAGTTATTCATATTCCAGAAACTAAGCAATGATTTTTAAAAAGTTCAATTTTGCATGTAAATTTTTAAATTTTGAATTTTGCATGTCATTACAGATTAAGAAGATTAACAATAAGAGTAGGTAACGACAGTTGATGCGTGATAGAATAGAAAGATAAAACAATTGAGATGAATAAAATTATTGGCCTGGTGATAACTATTAAGTATTATAAAGGATGCTATAAATATAATTAGTTCTTACACTGTAAAATTGGATTAAAAGATAAGACATACCAGTCAATTCTTATGTACTTACATATCTACACCTAAACTTTGATTTTTACATTTACAACACCCAAATCTTTAGTATCACATCTAAAATACTACTATTTTAACTTTTAAATGGTGAGATGCACCTTTTCATGGCACACAAATAAATATTGAAGTTTACGCGTTAAATATGTAAATACATAAGAATTGAGTGGTATGCCTGTAAATCTTCTAAAATATAATTTATAAAGCCCATTTCAAGGAAAAAAGGGATGGGCTGCAAAGACATTAGCCCAAAGAAAGAGAATAACTATTGAGAGAGAATTCAATGGAATTGTAGGTTCTAAAATGACAAGTTCAAGAGATTTCAGGCTTAAATAGAAATAAGAGATGGAAATATGAAGGAAGAATCAATACTTGATTACCAATAGCATATCATCTAGAGATAATGCGCGCATTCCTTGAGATATAAGATTAACAGCTACATACTTTCAAAAGAAAAAAAAATGAAATCACAATCTATTTATTTTTGCTATAAGGAAGGAATTTATTCTGTAAAGATTCCAAGGCAATACGTGGAGAATGCTAACCACAAAATATATAATAATAATTACAGATAATATAATCATAAATTATCAAAGAAAATTATAAAAGGTAACGGTGGTCTTAAAATAAGATTGGTGAGAGTTAAAATGCAAAAATAAGTAATCACCCAAGATGAGTAAAGGGTAATTAAAACTTCAACTTTCAATAAAAAATTTACTGGATGGATAGTTGATTGTAATATGAATAATGCCCCACTGGTTTTAGGGTGAGCAAGAAATAGATCATCAATAAATAAGGAGTATCTTTAATGGAATAAGAATAATAATGATAATGATAATAACAATAATAATAATGATAATAAAAACAAAAATGATGATAATGATCATGATAATAATAATAATAATAATAATAATAAGTCAAAAGATGGAAAATGAAGTAAATTATTATGGCGATGGAGTACTTTTATGTGATGGGATAAAACCATTAACTTGTATTAAATAAAAAGATTATAAATTTTACAAAAAGCAAACAATTGTAAGTTAGAAAATTTGCAAAGAGTAAGCAAAGTCAGATCTACAGCTTTTTATGATTTATATTATGAACGAAGTACAAAAAATAATATAAAATAAAATAAACAACTTGTAAGATGAACTAAGCTTTGCAAGCTTTGATCACGCTTAAGAATGAAGATCAAAAGAGCATGCATTAATAAAAATATATCAAGAAAAAAATTCTATATTAAAAATTTCATATGAATTCACTCGTTTAAGATCCAAAAACAAAAAGCAATATGTCCAGAAGACAAACTATTGAGATTTGGAGAGTCTGAAGAGATATTAAGGCTGTTAGATTTTATGTTACTGAGAAAAAATGATTTTTCGTTGATTTGAATAAATTTATTTATATAGCAGAAAGAATCAAAATCTTTAGAAAATGCAAGATTCAAGGAGAAAACATCTCCTCAAAATTTGAAATTCTAAACTAACTTCCTTATATCAGAGAGATACCATTTCATCAAAGTTCAAAAGTCTACTCAACTTCTCTTGATGTTAGCAGCCTACATTTTAAAATAAGAGAGTAAAAAAACCTTCTTCCATTGAAAATCATTTGGTTTGCATGGGAGTCTTAACCTTTTTTCGCAATCTTAAAGGCCTTCTTTAGCCCATCTCACATTGAAGTGGTCTTCAAATTCACAACGCAATTCATCTATCATGGGCATTCATGGATGATGGTATCCTCAGGTATAGAAAAACTACATAAATGGAAGAATTTCATTCTAAGCCTTTGTATGCCTCAAATTGAAATTTTTAAGAATATGGTCTAATGCACCACTTATTTATGCCTATATGTGTATAAAAGAGGAAGCTTCGATTCAGTTAGGTGTTCATCAAATTCTAAAGGGCCTTCTAGTAATTCCATAGAAATCTATTGTCCCTATCAAAATTAATTTATTAAAGCAACCACAAAAAGCTTCTGAATATGCTAAAAAAATAAGTTCATGTACTCTCACCACATATTATGCACACATTCTTGTTAAAATAATCTACTATAACGGATAGGCAATTAAACTCATGGCCTCTGTGGAAGTCCAATGAAAGAGACTCACATAAGAAACTAACACTATGCAATATATGGGACAATAGAAAATTCACAAAAAAAATATAAAGAGAAGATTTTTTTTTTCAATTCAACTCTTTCCAGTAAGAAGAAAATAGATTAATCAACAGTGTACAATGTATATGAATTAAAGTTAAAATCAAATCGAGCTCGAGTTAGTTTGGCTTGGCTCATTAAAATTTTGACTCTTACTCAAATTGGCATCAAATCAAATTGAGCTAAGTCAACTATAAATCAATTTGAGTTTACTTGAAATTTAATTTTAAATTATAGCATTCAAAATAGGCCAACATAGAGTTAGATATAAGAATGTTAAAAGTGTTTTCTCAATTGGAAAATTTTAAAACAACATGATTTTGAGCTCCTCTCTTGAACTCAAAAATAATCTAACGCCTACTTTGAGTTAAACCAGAGTTCAACTTATGGCTCAACCAATCAACTAAAAAATATCTTTGTTCTTCCACTAAAAGAGTAATTTAAAAAATTGTGAAAAAAAACCTTTTTGATACTGCACTATCTTCTTGCATTAACTTTCAAAAGTGAAAGGCATTTCCTCCTTTCATGGTTTCATCTATGGTATATAGACATAAATATAATTTAGCTAGATTGATAGATTTTATTTGTCTTAGTACTAGATCATATTTTCTTATTTTTCCGTACATAATTTTAAAAAGAAATTAAAATTTGAGACACTTCTATTTTGGAATGGATCTCTTTTCTCGCATTAAGGTTTTTTAAGAGAAATTTCTCTCCCATTTTGGTTTAGTAAACAGACACACATATACAAAAACATATACCCACACGCGCCCGTCAGCCTACCCGCCTCCAGTGCGCACATTCACACAAACATCAAAAGGTAAATTTCACTTCTTAGTTGATTTAGCACAGAAACTCCATCATTCAATGACATTTCATGCGCCACAGCATCCTTGGGTACTGAACTTTGTATGTTTTAGAAAATAATTGGTTATCTACTTGCCTTGATAACAATCAAGCATGAAAAAAAAAGAAGTCTTATCTGGCTCAACTGTCATCTCACCCAAGGGAAGAAAAATTAAACCAAGATTGCCACTAATAAACATTATGCTTAATTGAGGGAGACAAGATCAGGATAAAAAAATAGAAATAATTTAGATTACAATATAAGATATATCATATTTTATCAATGCAAACTTCAAGGTGTATGGATTGCCAAAGATAAAGTGTCACACATCAAGATGTATAACCTTATGGGCACTGTAATTGACATACTAGTGACTGCAAACTCAAAAGTATAAAAATCAGTCCACATTATGCTTCATTCCATCTTCAACCACATCAATAAATACGAACTTGGCTAAGGTATAGTTTCCAAATATAAAATGTCATATAATTTCTCTAAAATCAAGTTCAGTTAACTTAACATATATCTAAGATAAAGAAAAAAAAAACTATGCCATCATGACTTGGGTATTTAGCCTGAAAAACTCTTCCTTGGTCTTACCACGCCACTTCTTGTATGCTGAAAAAGCATATCAGTGTTGCTCCCTTCTTGTAGACTACTTCTGGGGCTTTCTTCGCTATTGTAGAGGTTTCAGTTAGGTTTCCTAAGAAAACTCAAACATGCAAACCACCTCTTCCACCAAATTCAACCATCTTTAAGATTTTTGACATCTAGATTGAGAGCACATGTACAAGAATTTCTCGCATAGGTAAACATATCACTATAAGTTGTCATAGTTCCTAATTGTTGTGAACACATGAAATGATGGAAAATCCCTTCTTGGGCCCCCAATCTCTATCAAGCCCTCCAATATTTAGTTGTCATGGTCAATGTCCTAGCTTGAGAGGAGATTGGAATGAGTGCTTGGTTTGTACTCATGTTTTCCTCTGGATCAATGGCGAGGTTGGTTCTTGTCTTCACCATTTTTCCTTTCAAGCCTATAGTGCTTCTCAAAACAAGAAGAAGATAGTGTGGAGAGAGATGCCTTTGTTGTGGTTTGGAATTATATAAGAGAAAAATATTGATAACTAAAAGATTTTTTAGATTATAAGAGGCTTAGAATTAGTAAAAAAAAATTGATTGCGAGATATACAATCTTATGGATGAAATTGCATAATTAGGAACCATTATTGTAACAAAAAACGATATTTATGTTTGATAGATTTAAGTAAATTGAACTCGATTGCAGAACAAATTGCAGATATCGATGGAGTCATAATAACAATAATTAAAGCTAGATGGCTAAAAGAAATAGCTTGAGAGTATATGCAATAGTAGAATGTCATTATATCATGAAAACTTGTAAATAAATTTTATAAAATTGTAAATGCTCTTTGGGTTGTGTGTTTGACAATAAATAGGTCGTTCATAATAATGTTATGTGTGGCAAAAAAAGAGAGAATAATAAGATGACTGTATAGTAAATTTATGAAAGAAAGTATGTAAAATAATTAAATTAAAATAGTGGTAGGAGTGGTGATTTTTAAGTTAAGGGGGTAGTAGGTAATTTGAGTATGCAGAGAAGAGGCAAGTAGATGGACCCGCATAATGGATTAATAGAATTAATGTGTAATGATTATAAAGAAAATATATATAATAAAGTGGATACAAGTTGTCAAGAAAAATTTGCACAAAATAGATCTAATACCTCATGTAACACAAAACAAGAATGAATATAAAATGAAAAATCATAAAATTGCTATCAAATATTAAACAAAAAAACAAATGATGAAAATTTGATACAACAGAACATTTAAGTGCAAAAATTTTAATAGAAAGTATCAACCAACAAAAAAAAAAAAACAACCGCATCGTCCCAATCAATCATGAAAGGGTATATGAGAGTTAAATATAAATTAATTTAGCAATCTTTATTAAAAAAAAAAGATGCGTCTCCAAGGAATGTAAAGTTATTCGAGATATGAGCACTAGTGTATTAATGATAAATATTAAAAGTTGAAAAAAAAACTTAAATCACAATAGGAATTATATGTCCCTTAAAAATTATATGTTGTATATCTTGTGCAAATAACTTAGAAATCTAAATAAAAGAATTGGAAAATTCATCATAAGCTTTACAAAGAATAGATTTAGAATCAGCAAAACAAACATTAAAGATATCCTATGTAATTTAAGTAAATATGATATTGAAAATTATAAATCAATATTATAGGATAACCATGTGAAGCAGATTTAAGTATGACAATATGGTATACAATTTATTGGGGAAACTAATGAGGGCATAACTTATAAAATTAAAAATAAGGGATTAATATAAAAACCCAGCTAAGTGTAAATGAATAAAATGAAGATTTTAATTCTTTATTCAAATAGTTATGCAATAAAGTAGTCAGAAAAAAATGTAAAAGAGAGGAAAAATTAAGTTGAATGTAGAAGGATGAAAGTGTATAACAATAACGTTAAAGAGATAATGAGAGTATCATCAATTAAAACAATGTTCTAGAAATCAAACCCGACGGACGGGTCGAGAGGGGGAGAGTGAAGAACTAGGCATAAAAAAGGGTGGAAAATTGATGCCATCATCTCTGCAGCATTAAAAACAAAAGTATTCTCCCACACTGCAAATCGTAGGCAATCAGCTCTCTAAAACACCATGAAAGCACCCACTGATGCAATCATCTCCCTCCTCAATTAACTAGACTTTCTTTAAATCATTATTCTATAAGAAAATCCTCCTTGATGTCGACAAGTCTTTTGAGTAATACAATAGCAACTATATATAAATTAACATAAGCCTCAGCAAACCATAAAATAAAATTGTTTTCCACACATCCACTTGCTTTATCTAAACTCCTACTAAAGAGGGGCGTCTTCCCAGCTACGTTTCACCAACTCACATGGAGTTCCTTTATTCCTCATTTCACCGCATCAACATGCACCGATTAAGCAGCCAACTAGCCCGGTGGGCTCCATGAATGACACTCTATACCTAAAAAGTGCATGCATAAATGTCATTCTCAAAACATAATAAAACACTAGGGCCCCCTACAGAACCCTAGAACCCAAAAAAAATCGAGCAAAACGAAGGGACCAAATTGAAAATTTTTCCATACGGCGACAAACAGCGATGGTGAAATGTATAGAAGAAACTGCGGAAAAAAATTGCAACCCTAGCTAATCATAAGCATAAATTTGTCGACCTCAGGAAGAGTGAAGAATCCGGCGCCGACCGGCGATTAAAAAATTCAGCCTTCTGTTGCTTCGGATCAGCTAACGATCGGCAAAAAGATAAATAGTTTCGCCGGCGGTGCAGGTGGCGGCGCTTTCAGACAAGCGGGTCGCCAATCGCCGCCTTTTATAGGCGTACGCCTCGGCTCCTTAACAATCATTCTAACATTCTCGCCGAACTTCGAGAATGCACTGTGCAGGGGGTGGTACGACAAGCTAGAGCTTTTGTCGGGCAAGGCCCATGAACGAATAAACAATTTAATGGGCCTCTGGGCGCTTCTTTTATGAATAAATAGGTGCGGCTAAGCTCTGTGAATATTGCAATTGGCTACGCGAGGAAGTGCTCTCTTTGGTCTCCATCGGCTAAACTTTATGGATATTGCTAGTTGGCTAAGCTAGCAAAGATCACCGGATTGTCGATCGGCTAGGCTTGATGGTGATAATTGGTTGTTCTTTGACTGGCAAGGGGTTGGCAGGATTGATTTGATCGGCCAAGTCTTGCAGATAGAATAGTCAAGTGTGGCCGTCGACCAAAGATCCCTGATGAAAAATTCTCTCATCTCGTCGAGAGGGCAAAGCTAGGCTATCTCATAGAAAGTGAATCAGTGTAACTTGATAGGTAGTCACTCTTAGACAAAGAGATCCTGAGAGAAGGTTGAGACTTGTCTTTATTGATTCTTGATGATTTTTAGGGGGATTAATGGATATCTCTGACAGAATTGCATATGTGAGGGGAAGAGGGTGGGCTGCACCAAATATTTTTTGTTGACATTCATTTTTGATGCAACACATATGAAACGCCATTTTTGAGTTACACAGGATCGTATCTGAGATCATATGTGGCCTAATGTGGCTCAAGGAGCCCATAGGATATTTAAATATATGTTGTAGGTGTGATATTTGGGGCATGCGCCGCCGTAGTCGTGCTCTGAGCCGATCATCACTAGCTTGACACCATTTTCGATGTCCTTTGCGTTGATGCCATTCCAACATTATGGGGGTTGTGTCTTGTTGATAAATGAGTTAATGTGACAGAATATCGACGAAATTATCGTGCATGTGTTCATACCTTAAACCTAAGGCTGAACAGATGAATTTCGTACATTAATGTTTTATTCGGTGACAAGCATTTGGAGCGTCTTCTCGGGGTTCAGAGATGTATTTATGACTCCTACAGGTTTTGAGGATCATGTCTTGCTCATATCCGACCTTCCCGAGGTCCCACGATGCTCGAAACCCTTCCAAAAACTGAGTCTTTTCCCGAAGCTCGATTTATGTGAGGACAGGTGTGACCACGCCCGAAGGTGGCGTGACCACACTGACCAAACAAAACGCGCGGTGTAATTATGTTAAGTCTTCGGTGTGACCACGTTGACTTATCATCCACGATACTTGCTACAGTGGCTCGACCACGCCAGAGTTTGACGTGGCCACTCCGGTTCAACCTGTTTAACGATTTCTAGCCTACAATCCCAGGATGTCCGCCGACGACGCCACTAGGACCACGGGATAGTGCTCTCTATCTGGTTCTTTACCCAAAATAGGCATGTGGAGTAACCTAGGCCCATGCATAATGAGGTAAATGGTCAATTCTTGGCTTTGTAGTAAGGGATATGAATTGCCTCGGTGGCAAAAGAGGGGGAGATCAGTCATTTTTCGGATCAAGAGAGTAGAGGGGAAAGAGAGCCTTGAAGATAGCTTGAGAGGAGCTTCAAAAAGAATTATAGAGGGAGATTTTTCATGTTCCATAAGAATAAGCCAAGGGAAGCCATTTTTGCTCCATCTTCTTTGCCTTTTTCTTCATTTACACGTTCTTCTTCCTCCTCTCTGGTGACTCCTTGTGAGTTGAGCCCAGAAAAGCTTCTTCCTAGCTTGGAAGAAGAACTCTGACAACCTCATCATTCTCTTCAGCAAGGAGAGCTTCTTCACCACTTTGAGACGGAAAAAGGAACGACTACCTTCTAACATCATGGAGCACGGACAATCAAAGAAAATGCATCATCAACCACCGACTCAGTTATATTTTTTGAACTCTTGTGGTTTAGCATCCTTAGAAACCTAGGTCTAGATGTTAGAGGATATAGGTTAAGATTTTTGTGTTCTTGGAGGAAAGCAAATATGATTAGGTGCTTTGTGTTTTGCCCTAAATCCAAAGAGTAAAACCTATACCTCTTCATTTTAGCCCAAAATTTGAAAGTCGGGGTTGTATTATTCTCATTGTTTGCTTTGGTGGTTTCATCCGGATGGATGTTTGAAACACATCAACCAAGAAGACGAAGGTGTTCCTTTGTTCAACTTCTTCCCAATCACGAAGTGTCCTCCTTGCAAGGGAATCCCCACTTAGTATCGTATAAACGGAGGTGGGTGTCATATTGTCTTGTGCAATATAATGTTGGTACACCTCTCCATCACTTACCCTAGGTCTCCCATGACTTTGCTAGGATGAGCACGATTCATTTCCGGATCCAATCGGGTCTCATATCGCATGAGTTTGCATTTCAAATTTTTGCACTACATGAATTTCAAAATATGCATTAAAAACATCTCTTTTCGCATGTGGTGTGATCAACCGCCTCCACCGGCTCGATCGACACTCTCTTTTTCGTTGACTCGATTGATTTTCCGTCGTCAGCTCGGTCATCTCGATCGAACATTTTTGTCATCTCAGTCGATCGACCGCCACAGGCCTGATCATCCCCATCGACCACTTCTGTCAACTCGGTCAATCCGCCGACACTAGCTCAATCATCATAATCGACCACCTTCAGTCTGCTTGATCGATGAGCCGCCGCCAACCTAATCATATCGATTGACCATCGTTCATCGATCAGCCACCTACTTCGGTCTGATTGACCATCTTCAATCTACTTGATCGAACCTCTGTCACCAGCCCAATTAGATCAATTGATCAGTCTCCGTTGATCGGCTACCCAAGTCGGCTCGATCAACCATCCTTGGTCTGCTTGATTGGTCAGTTGTCGCCGCCCCAATCATATCAATCAACCATTCCTTTGTTAATCGACTGCCCATGCTGGCCCAATCAACAATCTTTGTCAATACGACCGATCTGTCGTCACCGGTTTGATTATTTGCACTCTATAGTGTGCTTGTGAGCATACACCTTCATATGCTCGTGAAGAGTATTTGTGTGTTTCATGGGCGCATTACTCTGTTTATTTGATTCATGGTATCCTTATGTCACTTTGCACCACGTCACAGGTGGTTTACACTTGCATTATACTTTTGTGTGTCTGCTAACATGGCATCTTGTGTGTCCATGACCTATGTCACCTTGCACCATGTCACATACCTCTTTTTATCTGGAAGCTATGAGAGACTTCATGCTAGTGAAATATAGTCTCATAACTTCAAAATGACGTATTTTGGTCAATCATTCATCGGAGAAATCGATGTCGATGATCGTCCTAAAACGCGGTGCGAGTAGTGTGTCTCAAACCCTAATTTCCCCGTAGCGCACATAGGTGGACTCTGTGACTTCCACTGGCCCTGAGAGGCTCCATACGGACGTGTGTTAACTTTTAATTATCAAATTAGACACCAACCATGCCTCATGTATTAGATGGGCCTCCCGGAGGGAAATTTCCCGAGTAGAGCTGAATCGCCACCGAACCTAGCTACTTGCCCCGAACAAGTGCCAAAGGTTCCCGGGTGGGTGGGATGCTACGAACAAAGTGTGGACAATCCTGCGTCATGCAGGTAGACACCCTATATTTGTGACATAAAAATCGATGCCAACAGTGTTCTTTGGGAGTAGTTTTTAAATTCTTAAAAATTATTAATCTTTTTGGGATAACTTTCTGTTATTTTGCGCTTCAAATCACATCACATTTTTTTTTTATAAACTATTTTCTGATTGTTTTCAAAAAAAATTATGTCATGTGAAACTATTTTTTTTTATTAGTAATGTTTATGTGCGTTCTAAGAAATTTATTGTTTGATTTCCTAAAAAAATTAGGCGTGCATTTTCTGTTCGGACACCCGACGTACCTCTACATGTGTTGCAGGGTATTCCTGAGCTATTTTCAGGTTATTTAGGGATTATTTTCAATAATCCCGAAATAGCCCAAAAATAACCCAAACATAAAGACCACGGATTATTCATGTGCTATTTCGGTATTATTGAAAATAACCTGAAAATAACTCAGAAATACCCTGCGCCGCACGTAAAACTACGTCAGGAGTCCACACATAAATTTTTTTGAAAAATTAGATATGTATAATTCCCACCACATTTTCAAAGAATTTATTTTTAATAGTATAATTTTACCATCATCTTTTTTGTTAAGTAGCAGCCACTCCAAACAAATCCTATATTACATTTAGGTGGATTTTTTAATGGTGAGAGGAACGAGCTTTGAAATTTTTAGGACTTTCATATTGTATTTGAAACATCTCAATATTCGTGACTTTCAAGCGTACTCTCACAGTGTGTGGTGGGAATGATTTGTAAGCTTTTTGTGTGTTTTAAGATTTAGCTGCACTTAACTGGTCTTAGCAATATAAAAAAGATTATATTAAATATGGATAAAATTATTAATATGCTTATTTATTCTAAACAAAAAAAATAGGCATAATTAACATAATTAAGCTTCATTAGTCAAATGTGTTAAGAATTATAGAAGTAAATAATTTATTCCTATAAGAAGTTGTGAGGAATAAATTATTTCCTTAGAATAAGGAGATGTTTCTTTTCATATTTTATATTTATTTCCTTAGATTATGAATTAATTGTTTTCATATTTTATGTTATTTCCTATATCTCCTAATAATTAATAAGAATTGATTATTGGAGATATCATGTGATATATTTTTCCTTTCATATCATTTATTTTTTATTATTTTTTCTTATTATAGGATTCTTGTAAGTGTTTTTTATACTCTCGTTCATATCAATGAAACACATTATTCTAAATTTCAACATTAGGAAACTCATAATTGAGTGAATTTGCTATTAAAACTAAATGATCAAGTTAATTATGATGGGTAAATTAAACACAAGATCAGTAATAGTTAAATAAATAAACTATTTGTGCACATGTAATTAATTTGAGAGTTATTTAAATAAATATAAAGCAAAGCCAAATAAATTCTAAAATGTTGCAATATAATATATATATATAAATATATATATATATATATATATGTGTGTGTGTGTGTGTGGGTGTGTGTGGGGGGGGAG